ATTCGGTCAGTTCAGATCCTTCCAACCTAACGTTTTCTCTTTCTAACACACAGCGTCTATACCAAAGGACCCAGATGATTGCTTTTCTCCCTACTTCAAAAAAGTTCGATTGAAAGGGAGATAAGGAGATATGTTGTGGTAACCAATGCCCTAGTAGGATTGCTTTCCAATCCCATGGCCAATCTAGACCCGTGTACTTTCTCCATATATAATCCCATTTTCTCCATAGTAAAACCGACCCTGGGCATTGCATGAAAATGTGTTCTATTGTTTCCCTGCATTTTTTACTAGGAAAATTTGTTACACAAGATTTGCACCAAGGGAGAGCCAGACCCTTTTGTTCTAATGAAGTTCGGTCTATAATCCAATGATTGGTGGGTAGGCATCGGTGTGCTATTTGCCATTGGAGAGACGTGAATTTTGCTGGCCTCTGTTTAATTTTATTGAAAAATTTAATTCTTTTGATCGAATTTATGTCCTGCACTCCAGCAAGACTTACTGCAACAGAGCCACCATCTTCGCTGATGTTGTACCCTATTCTCGTCCTACCAGCTAGGTCACTTACTAGTAGGACGCGTAATATCCCACCTTCTCTTTCTCCAACTCACCTCGGTCTCTTGAGAAAACGTCTGAGCAGTACGAAAAACATGGGAATAACCCTCATAGGTCCTACAATGCTAAAAAACCCTTGAAATCCCTGACAAAACCCTTCCAAAGCACTCCAACACTGTCCTACTCCCTGCCGATCTCTTCCAGGTCTCACACCCCCACATCCTGATGGGTTACAGGGCAACATAACTCACCCCAGCTCCGACCAGCGTCATCCCAACAGCAACCTTTAGTTGTCCAGTGGGATGCCCACCCCAAAGCATCCCCAAATCTCTCTACCAGGCCTCACGCTCCTGCATCAGCAGGTCATAGGGCAACACCCCAGCACCGGCCATCGTCGTTCTGGCATCGAACAACCGCAGGTCACTGAGTATAACAGCATCGAAGCCACCTAAGAAGAGTTGCTAGGAATCCCCAGAGTCCAAAAACATTCTTAAGATGACCAATCAGCCTTTTTTTTTGTTGATGAAACCAATAAAAGCAGACTTCAACTATTCGTCTTTCTTTGACTAGCTGACCTCCTCCACCACATAGTTCTAAGAAGAAGAATAGAAATAGTCCGCCAAAAAACTTTTGAGTGAATTTTACGAGCCAACGACAATCAACGGAACCAACTTCCCTTCAACCCCCTATTCTTCTTCATCCCTCGGCGAGCCGACCTCCTCCACCACATAGTTCGCGGGATGAGAACAACAGCCACAACCACACACCTTCCTCAACACATTCCTCCTCTTACGACGAGACGACCTCCTCCACCCAAAGTTCGCAAGAGGAGAAATGGTAGAAATTAGGTGAACACCCTCACCCTAATAAGTGCAACACCACACCTCCTCGAAACACCTGACTCATAAAACGTGGGCAAGCAACTCAGAAATCAAAAGGTTATGAAAACCAAGTAGTCATATATGGCATATTAATCCCATAAGAAGAAAGGACGGAAGGGACGTTTTTCTTTCCCCATGGAAATTCATGCGCCTATTCCCGTCTTCGCTGAAGGTAAAGGTTCACAAGAACCGAGCGGCTTACTCCCCCCCCACACAAGACGACCTCCTACCCTTTCACTGCCTCCACTGGAAGGTGCCCCCTCACCTTCCAGCCCCAGTTCAGAGCAGCCCCCTAAATTCCTCCTGTCAGCAGCATACAATACCTCCTAAAGTATGCCCCCCAGAGCCGAAGGTCACCCTTCCCTCATGTCCCACCCCCTCCAAGTGAAACACCTCACAACCTCTCACCTTGCTGAAGCCAACATCGACCCTTTGTCCTCTCTCCCAACCGCCTTAGCTGATCCAACCCAAATCAGTCTGGCCCAAAAGAGAACAAACCCACAAACCACCCCTACCCTCTCAAGGATCAAACCTCCCACCTTGCATAACCCTCGCAGGGTGGGGCTCAACCCTGAAAGAGCGAGTTCAATCAGCACCTATGAGCCCAAATCCTACGGTATCGCAGCCTGGGACTCGATTATGACCTACTTTTTGAAGATTCCCCAAACAGATAAACTTTAATATCGAATCAGATATCGAATTCAAAATACCAGAGCACAACTCTTATAATGACTACAATCGACTAACGCTCCCACCGCTGACGATGGCACTCACACTGCCCCCGTAGTGCCGCTGTCGGTAATCAAAATGTCACATCACAGTTCATATTCTTGCTAAGTGGAAGACCTACGTTATGTTTTCCAAAACTTTATCAACCCCACAGACTACAACACTTAAAATGCGACTCCTCAACAAACCAGACCAATAAATCTACTCTTTAGAAACCAAGGACCGGGTACTGGGGAGGAAGAATAAGCAGTAGGGTTACCCTCTCATCATCACTGTCCAAACATTGTCAAGAGCCTTTGTTGCCTAGACGGGTTTCCCACCACGCACCCAATGGATACAACTCTAGTTTGCTCTTCACCGGGTCTCTCATATTGTCCAACCATTAGTGTTCCCACTGCTCCTTCGTG